GCGATGTCATTTTTCATTTCTTCTTGATTCTTCTTCAATTCCTCTTGGTTCTTCTTCAATTCCTCATGGTTCTTTCTCATTTCTTCTTGGTTATTGTCAAATTTCTCTTCCATTCTTTTTAGTCATCCTATGATCATTACTCTGAATTCTTGCTCTGGTAGGTTGCTTGCCTCTAACTCGCTTACTTTCTTTTTGGGTGATGCCTGCTTTTCTTTCATGTGCGGGCTATTTCTTTGTCTCCCCATGGTCTCTCTTTTCAGGATGTCTGGTTATGTGGTGTTTCTTCTCCTGCGTTGATTTAAAGGCACAAAATACAACACTACCAGGTACAACACAATAGGCACTTAACAGGAATGTATTTATGATATTAGTAATCTCTAATAAAGGTAACCACTAGAGAAAGGCAAATTAGGGGATAGGGGAGAAGGAAGAAAGGTAAAAATAAAATAAGGAAAAATTTAAAAAATAAAATAAAAGAGAGGGATAAAGAGATAGAAAAAGAAGAAAAAAATAATGACAAAATGAAGTTGGAAAACAGGGAAAAAAGAAAAGAGAGAGAGAGAGAGAAAGAGAGAAGCAGAATAAGAGAGAAATGGGAAACAAACTATATATATATATATATATATATATATATATATATATATATATATATGGAGAAAATTCCCATAGAACAATCACTAATCCCAGCCAATGCCAGCAACAATACTTGGAGATTAATACAAATTACAATATCCACTATTATTAAGTAAGGCTATGATATACAGAAGTAAAAAACAAACAAAAACAAAGGATTTTTTTTTTAAATACAAAGCAACAATAACAACTCGGGAATACGCATAACAATTTCCCTAAAAAGCATAAAAATTCACAATAATCGACATTCACACAAACAATGACAAAAGGATAGAGAGGAGAACAGTTTGTTTGTTTTTAACTAGTTAATATAGTGCATAGAGTGGTATTTATACACTTGGATCAGGGGTTGGAACTTAGGTCTATAAGTATAGTGAGAGCTTTAGCAGGGGGTATACAGAAAGAATAGAGGAAAAACTAAAGCCAGAAAGGGAAAGGATAAGCAGGAGACTAAAAGGGTTAAGTTTAGTAAGAGAGTGATGGTGTAAAGGTCAAGTTGAGATAGAGTTGAACGATGTTATAGTAGAAATTAAAATAGAATGAAAATTACTCTCAATGTAAAATAAAGAAAAAATAAAATGGTACTGGAGAGAAAAAGAAAAGAAAAAGGATACAAAAATTGCAAAATAGTAGTAGTAATAGTGATGATTGAGATTGAAAAATGTAATAATTGAAAAGGTAAAATCAAGTAAGGAAAAAAGAAAAAAAATTGTTTCTTAAGTAAAAGATATAAAAAATGAAAATTAAATAAAAGATGTAAAAAATGAAAATAAAATAAAGACTAGTAAAATTAGCATAAAAAATATCCAGTAGTGGTCATTCACTTCCTCTGATATTGTATTTGGCATGCCTGATTCTCAAACCAGACAGTCTCGCAGTTCCCAGCATTCCACTGCACCTCAGTTTTGTAAGGTAGTCCTTAATTTTAAGTAGGCTATATCTTAGTTATTTGTGTCCATTTATTTTTGATTAATTAAAAGGAAAGAAAAAAAATGGCAGTTTGTAATTCAGCCCTTAGGTGGCAGTGTTTTTGGTTTGACCTCCCAGTCTTTTTGGTTGCTCTGGCCTTCTTTCTCTATGGCTCTAGCTGGCCGAGTGCCAGCTGGCTCCCAGACTATCTCTTCTGGCTCCGATTCCCCGTTTCAAGGAAGGCAATTTCCCCCTACTGTCCCCAGGATATGCCCAACTGGGCAGTCTTTCCCTAGTATTCAGAAGCAAGGGAGTGAAGGGGATCAGGTGCCAAGGTGTCCAGATGTTCCGCCCTTGGCGGGACAGCCCCGACTCTTAATAATCTGTCCCATGTCCTCTGGCGTTTTAAAAAAAAAGTCCCGCTTCTGGGGAAGATTACGCCAAACCCAGCACTGGGTGTTGCCGGGCAGGATTCTCACTGAGGCCTCCTTTGGGCGCAGCTCGACGCAGACGGCCGCAAGGGCGCTCCGCAGCTACAGTGGATGCGGGGCTGAAGCTCCGTGGCTAGTAGCTGCCTGCACCGCAGGGACCCAGAACCCTCACGCTATCCCCGCAAACTCTGAACTTTCTGTGGGTGATCGAAGAACCCCCCCTAATCCACGTGTTTGCGCCGATTCGGGCGTCACAGCTGCTTGATGGACTCCTCCACTGTGGGTTTTCCAGGCCTCAGAGAAGTTCCTCCTTTCCTGGTAAGATGGTGCAGCCTTCCCTCCGAGCCCATAGCTCCACGAGAGGTCGCCGCCGCCGCAGTGCTGGCTGCTTGGTCAGGAAATCCTGTCCAGCGGACCCTTCCTTACCTTCCTTTAGAGTTCCGCTGCCCCTTAGCTGCCAGTCACTATTCCCTGCGCGACTCAGACGCTGCTTTTATCTGTTCTGGGGCCAGGGTCAGAACAAGTTCGTCTGTTCGGTCGCTATCTTGTCCTCTCTCTCACACATTCCATTTGAATAGTAGGCCAGCAAATGTTATTGAAACTAGACATGGGAAGTATTGGAAGCATTAAGTAACACTTAGGGCCCTCATCTTTGAATGTGCATCTAAGAATTTTTGCAAATTTTTATACGCAACCTCCTTCCCATCTTTTGACTGTGGCAACCATGGCCTCAGGGAGGACCAGGCTTATAACTGGAGATGTGATGAAGGTAAAAGAGCAGTTATCCATCTTTTAGTTGGTATGCATTGCTTAGTTTTATTCTTCCAGAAAATAGAATTTTGGAGCACACAATATTCAAATGGTGCTAATGAATAATTCCAAGTTGTTGCTTCTTAAGAGGAAAAGGATTTCTAAATTCCAGAAGTTTCCCTTTAGATATCCTGAGCAGAGCATGAATGTCTAAACACAGCTTACACTATCTGTAACTGAGAACATGGAATATGAATTAAGGGACATTTCCTTGTGGTCAAGGAGCAGAAAAGGGGGGAAGGGGGAGAGAAAGAAAAGATTGTCATGGGTAGTGGGAACAGAACACTAATGAGATCCCTTAACAATAAAGATTAGAAATAGTGATGGCAAAGGAGCATGATTTGGAGGTCAAGAGCCTCATAGCACAACTAAGTCTCCTTCCACACTTGCAGGCCCTAGAAGTTCCCACAGCCATAAGGGACAGAGAAGATAGATGAGAAGTAGCCTCTGCTTCCCTGCCAATGACTTGCTGCAGCATGGGGTGCAGGGACCAGAAGCCCATGAGGCGAAGAGCCCAAAGGTAAGGCCTATCAGAAAGCAGGGCCAAATCTTTTAAACAAAGAGATCCTCCACTGAGTACTTGGGTAAAGAGCCCAGGCAGTGGAGGAGATCAAACTCTAAGTGAACTGAGACAGTACACTGCTCATACAGAGAGCAGCTGTCACCTGCTGCCTCTGTCACAAGCCTAAGGACCAAGGGCAGAGACTTAACAACCAAAGATCTGGAGAAATGAACTGTTCCTCAACTGAACAACAGTAAACACTAACAGAAAAGGACCACACAGGACAAGGACAGTATCACACATCTGTTACGATACTGCTGATTAATGTTAAGTCTGCCCCCTTGCCCAATGCCATGTGATTAAAGGGGAAGAACAAGAACTGGGAGAAGTCCTGAAAGACTAGGCCTTTACCCAAAAGATAGCATTTTACATCAACCTGCAAGTTCAAGTTCCTTCCAGGCCCTCCCCCACCTGTAAAAGAGGAGTTTAACAACAACAACAAAAAAAATGAGCTATTACAGAGAACAAAGAAAATTTCTTCCTTGTCCTCCCGCCCTCCCTTCCTTCTGTGAATCTGATTAGTGGCATATAACCTTTAGCTCACTTACAAACATACACTGATTAAAGACTGGACAAGTAAAGACACTCTAAATGGGGGGTGATCAATGGAAAACAAAAGAGATGCTTCATCTGAGGTGTCCAAGATGCAAGGCTCTGAAGATGGTGCGTTTACTGACTTCAGATGACGTGGGGCAGGGCTTCTCAAACATCATATGCATATCTAGTCACCTCTGGATTTTGTTGAAATACAGTGTTATCTGAAGTTCTGAGATGTGGCTGAGACTCTGTTTCTAAAAACACCAGGTAAAGCTGCTGCTGTAAGGACCACACCACCTAAGACCTAGAAGATGTGTGCATCACATACTTCTTGTGAGCAGTTGTCAGAGACCCCCATCATAGGAGGTGACTCTCTGTAGGAAGCGGTTATAGGGTTAAGCCTCAGACTGACCTGCTGGCAAAATCGCAAACAAGTCCCAGCTTGGAAGGTACAGTCCTCTAAGCAAATTAAGCTTGATCTTGTTACTGCTCCCCAGATCTTTCCTGAGTAGCTAGTGGGCTGTGGGAGGTGCAGCAAGTGCTGCCAAAACAAGTGATACTTACCAGAACATTGTAAATTACCTTGTTTGTCCCTGACTATAAATAAAGCATCAGCTTTGCAGTCTGGATCTGTCCTGTGGTCTCAGCTGGGCACAGAAGATCCACCTAGACCCAGCTTTTTCTCTTTGTCTATCATTTCTCCATCCTTCCTGTCCCCCACTCAGGCTCACCGAACCCTTGGCTGTGCTGGCGCGGCACAGCTCTCAAAGGTTATTTGTGTGTGAGTAAAAGTATGAAAGGAAGTCATCATACCGCAGGCAGTGTGAAAAGAGGAGTTTCTGAGAGTTAGGTCATGGGCGTGCACCAAAGATGGATGGTTTGGGGAGTGAAAACCCTAAAGCTCAAGTGGAACCAATCTCCAAGCTGCGGCGAGGGCAGTGTTCCTGTGGCCTACCTCGAAGAATACTGGGCGCAGGTGCCGATAATGTCTGGGTCATAGAAACACCTAGTGACAAAGTGATCGTGCTAAACATCCTTGCCTATCCTTGCATATTATGGAGTAACTCCTTTAATGAGCAGAGAAAAGGTGAGCGGAACCTCTGACTTTTGGAACTTACATCATCTGCCGTCACTGTCATCACACTCCTGCTTTTCTTCATTATAGAGATGAAAAATTTCCCTTCTTAGGAAGTCTATTATTCAGAATAGTTTAGCTGACAGTTTTTTTTTAAGACCTGCAAGGGGAAGAAAGACACACAAAATGAATGGTTTGGTACCCTTAGTCAAATTTAAATTTGTATTCTCCAAATAAACATTTGAATGCAAGCAATATACATGCATAGCACAATTTACCAAATCAATTCAATCTGATAGGTGAGAGAAGAGGTTCACAAAGCCCAAAAAATAAGTGCAAAGCTATTTGGGAAAAGAGAAAATTGTAATAAGTGGGCTCCCAAATAATCAATGGTCATTAAGAATGTAGATAAAATGTATATTTGTTTTATGCTTTAACAGTCCTACCCCATACAATATGTCATTTGATTCCCATAAAAGTCAGTAAGATTCTTTTCTTTTTTCTTTTTTTTCTAATGAGAGAACAGAGGATCAGGAAAATAATTTGGCCAAGTTAATAGCTAAAATACAGCAGATTTAAAAGATAAAAAAATATAATCCCTTAATACTACTGTCAAAAAAAAAAGATGGGGGGCATAAATCAATACAAAAATATACATGATTAAAAAAATTCTTAATTTCAATTTTACTATTAATTTAATCCTCACACATGAATAGGTACTTAGGCAAGTATTCATCACAAAAATTATAACAACCAGTAGATAGAAAGAGCTAGAATTCCCTGGTTTATTTTACACACCGTTGGGCATTTTGAGGTAAAGACACTGCAGTTCATAATGTTTGTTTTGTGCAGATCAACAACCTTAATAACATTAGTAAAATGTAAGGGTGCATCCTAGCTGTGGAAGCTCAAAAGGAAAACTCAGGTGATTAAAACAGGCCCACATTTAAAGTTCAGGCATCTGAGAATATGAAGAATTCTGAGTTTGCAAAATTAAACTGGAAAATATATACTGTAGAAATCATCAAATCCTTCAAGAACCACTTGTCCACATGGTGATTTCTCAAGATCGTGGTATAGAAAATGCCTTGCACTGCTGCTTAGCTCCTATTTTCTCACTTTGTGTATTTAAACTCTTAATACATGCTTGATTGGAAAAGTCTGATTCTAGAACATGAAGTTATATATAGATTAAGAGTGTAATGAAATGGTAGCTATGTGACTAGGAATACTAAGTAGTGGCATTGTAGCATCACCCAGGAAACCAGGGTTGAATCTCTACCACATAATTTGACTATATTATGCAGAAGTTGGCAACAAAACTGAGAATAGATAAGAGAGAAAAGAGGGTGTGGGGAGAAGAAACTGAACCTTTACAGTGTTCTAGGGAGAGAGCCCTACAGGCTTTTTGGGGATTTGATTCCATAGTACAAGAAAAAGAATTTCCTCAGCATATAGCAAAGAACTTTTTCAATTGCTGAATTCTTCTAACACTGTCCTAATTTTTCCTGAAACTTCAGGGAGAAAATGAGGTTTCTTTTTTAAATATATTTTTATTGATTTCAGGGAGAAAGAGAGAGGGAGAGAGAGATATAAACGTGAATATTGAGAGAGAATCACAGATCAGTTGCCTTCTGCACACCCCCTACTGGGGTTAGAGCCTTCAATCTGGGCATGTGCCCTTGACCAGAAGCGAACCCAGGACCCTTCAGTCCACAGGCCAATGCTCTATCCACTGAGCAAAACTAGCTAGGGCGAAATGAGATTTCTTTTTAGCCTTAAATAATAAGTGGAATTTGTTTAGTGGAAGTAATGGTGTGCAAAAATATGGAAAGAAATATAATATACTGAGTGTGATACATGTACGAAGATGCCATGCTAAGGAAATTGATGTCAAGCAGAAAGATAAAATGTTCCCTGGAAACATCAGGAGATGTTTTGACAATCGAGAGTATTTTTGCCAGGTCTTAGCATGGAAATAAACTTAAGTTTTGTGACACTTTGCTTGTGAGAGCTTTTCAGATACAAATTCATGGGCCTTCAACTGGGAGCAAGCCTGGTTAGGAAAAGCAGGATCTCAAGTAACAGTGCAATTTTCCAAATGTATTACACTTGAAAATGTATTATTTTATTTCCAGAAATCAACCCCAACATCTGTTATGTAAAATAAAACAAAAAAGAGAAAGAAGGGCAGATTATTTTCTGGATATTCCTTGTTTGCCTCTTGAGGTCTACTCCTCTGCCTTTGCCATCTTGCCTGTGCCCCAGAAGATTGGTCCTCATGTTGTACAGTTAGTCAGACCTGAACAGAGCAAGGACAATGGACCAGGTACAGAAGGTCACCAGGATGGAAAACCTGGGGTGCCTAACAATGGTCAATCAATTGTAGGGTGGGCCCTAACCCACAGGGTGACTTTTCCTCCCCTAGCATATCACTGGTCATGAGTTTTGGAACCCCTGGCCTTTCCTCCCTAGAGATACCATCTAGACCTCAGTTGTATTTCAGCTCCAGGCTCGGATAAGCAACAAAACCAGCCTCAGGACCAACTGCACTAAGTAATGACACCCCTGCCCTAGTGTCAGCAGTCAATCATTGGAGACCCAAACTTGAAAGGACACACCTGGAAAAAACGCTGCTAATCTATTAAGATCTTTCCCTGGGACCTCCCCTAAAATCTCCACCCTTAAGATCCATGCACCCTCCCAGGACCATGCCATGCCTTTCCCTTCTCTGTCCCCCTCCTTTTCCTATCCCCTCCAGACACCTTACCATTTCTCACTCCCAAGATCAAGGGCCCTTCTTTTACCTCTATAACTTGTTTCCTAAGCCCATTTCATCTAGGAATTACTTCTACCTCTGTCATTTACCCAATATACGTTCTCTTACAGTTTGGGTCTTGCTCTATGAATTCTTTCCTAGCCAGAACCCAAGTACTGAGGCTGTTGAACCAGGTTTTGACACCTGATGTGGTTCCCATCACCTACAAATACTCAGAGACCACTGTGCCCATGGCACTCTAGCCCACTGTCCTGGGTATGTTCAGCCACTGGGAAACAAAGACAATATATTGAAGGACAGGAGAAGGAATGGTCCCTCCTTGCTAGCTTTGGTGTAGCAGTGGCTAACGTCCTCGAATCACAGCCCTACAGGCAACCCTCTTTAAGGTGACAAGTTTCCCTGGCATCCATTAACTAATGTCTCCACTTAACCCTTCAGATATAAGGCTGGTAGCTCTTTCCATTGTTGCTAGCCTTACGGTGCTTCATAATCCCTTCCCCCCTATCCACAGCAGCCCACATCTTTTGTAAATAATACCATCCATTAAACTTTACCCTCGTTTGGAAGTGCAATCTATTTCCTGCTGGGACACTGCCTGATAACAGATTTGTTCCAAAAACTTTACAAAGCCAGAGGGCAGTTTTAAAATATCTTCCCTCAGTGACTGACACAAAGCAGGGTCACAATAACCTGTTGAAAGAATGAATATAGTTGGGGTTCTAGAGTGGTTTATGGCTTTTAGAAAATAAAATTAGTAGGCATTACATCAAGTTGCTTTTGTGAAGCAGAAATAGCTTTATATCATCACTCTTTGGTGGCAATGATGATTCTGTCTGGGAATGCTGAAAAATGTTGTAATATATTTGATAGTATTTTATATTGTAATATTTTACTATAAACATCATTATATAATAATATATAATATAATTTCATATAGTATTATACACTGAGTGGCCACATTATTATGATCTCTGAACACATAATAATATGGCCACTCAGTGTATATCCTATATAATAAAAGGCTAATATGCAAATTGTCCCCTCAAGCAGGAGTTAGACCAGCAAGCAGGCCAGCCGAACACCCACATTCCCTCCCTCTGGCCAGGCTGGCCGGACCCCACCCATGCACAAATTCATGCACCGGGCCTCTAATATAGATACACACACACACACATACACACACACACACACTGAATGGCCATTCAGAAATCATTATAATCTGGCCACTCAGTGTATATTGTAATGCATTATTTTATGCTATATATGATATAGAAGGCTAGAGGTTATACATGCCATATCATTGTTGGTTATTAGTGTCAGTTGTCTTTTGTTTAGGCTAACATAGATTGAGAATTTATCTTATGCTTTTAAGTACTATACATACATGTGTCATAAAATCAAATATGTGTCATAAAATCAGCCAATTAAGTAAGATGGGCACAATAATCATAACAAGTGAGAAAATCAAGTCTTGAGACAGTAATGAAATGTGGCCAGACTAGTTCAGACTAGAGCCATTTTGGTTCTAAAGCCAAGCCTCTTAACCTATCACTATGCAGCTAATTGGATTTTATTCATCTTTTCAAGGTAGAAGTGAATGAAGTGATTTTTATTTCATTTTCTGAAGTCATAAATATAAGTTAAATGGATCAGTTTTCCATAACCATGTGCTTCAATTGTGTAAGGACACAAACAGGAGTAATTTTTAAAAGATACTAAAGTTTTTAAGTGCCTCAAATTTAAAGCAAATGTAGATGAGAGAAGAATTCAGGTTTTCTTACTTTGAGATTATTCTTCTGTCAACAAAATTTGATTCTCAATAAACAGAACACCATATGTTTCATTAAAACAAATTATTTCTAAGGATTTCTGAGTTGATGAGTAAATATGATGACTATAAATTCCATTTCTGGCATATTGTAATAGTTTTCCTGTGGTTTTATATTTCTCCACATAAAGGTGCTTTTAAAGTTACATTAATCTTTTATAACATTCTGTTACACTCAAAGACCACAGTATTCCTCATATAATTTTGCCTTTTCCATTTCTCATTTCTCCACAGATATTTCAAAGCTAACGGTAAAGGACCCTGGCTGAAGTAGCAATCATGTGACTTTCTCTTTCCATAGTTAAAGTTGTCAGCTGTAGTAATCCCTGGCTGATAGAAATGTCAACAAATTATGATATTCATTTTAAAATTCTACATCAAGTCCTGATACTCTAAGGTTGTGGGTTTGGATCTCCAGTCAGGACACATACAAGAAGCAACTAAGGAATCCATAAATAAGTGGAAAAACAAATTGATG